TTGAGCCATCAATTTACGGCGCAAGAATAAATCGTGAACAGACCTTCTCGTAGATCCCAACCGTGAGATTGAAGCCTCGAACAAAACCATTTGCACTGGCGGTCAAAACCAGCTCAGGATTATCAACTACAAATTTGAGAAAGGTAATTTCCGTCTTTCTTCGTTCAGTAGGGTTATGAGCCCGAACAATGTCAACATTTCGAACGTTATCCGTTCCCGACGACTCCAACTCCACTTTGTAAAAATCTATAAAACGGAGCGACGACGTCAGGCAACAATATAAACATAAACAAGATATAAAGGCAATCGGACAAAAAATTATTGAAAATTTAGAACCAAAAAAAATAATACATGGTTTCTCCATCAGGTCAGGAATATTACGGTAACACAAAACAACCGGAAAAACAAAATATACAGTACAGTATATATAAGCGAGATACAGGTGGACACACTCCACAACGAAACGCGAAGGACCAGAGAGAATTTCGTTGCAGAGAACCCCTATAAAACAAGAAGTTAACCTTTTGGGACCACAACAAAATTCATTTTACAGCACAGAGAAAATCGTTGTAAAGAGAGTCCATCTGTATACGTATAATTAATACCGAAGCATAAACTTCCATGCACAGTACTCACACAAATTTTCGTAGTCATCTGCTCCACAAAAAAGCAGGGGGTCTAACGTGGCATGCACATCGACAAGACGTATTTCTTCGTCGAAGGTTTCGGAACGTGAGGGTATGAAGTCGAAGCTATCAAATCTTTTCGAAATAGAGTATCTAACATTAGAACAAAATTTTTTTTTTTCAAATAGCGTAGTTGAAATGATTTTAATCTAGAAGAAAAATGTCATCCTCGAATTTCAACTATTTCACTGGAAATGAACCTTCAGAGCGATTTAATCGCGTAAAAATATGAATGAAGGCACACGTTGAACACAGAAGTAACTTACTCCCGTTTCATGAACCGCAGGCCAACATTGCCCAGAAGTCGTTTGTCCTGTAGAATTTTTTCGGTCACTTCGGATGACGGCGTCTTATTCGGTTTACCTTCCAGGTTCATAAGATCGGCAAACGAAGGAATCGTGTCTAACCATAAAGGACTCAAATTCAACCACGAACCATGGCAATGCAAGCAAAAGTCATCCAGATGTAAACGAAAACGAACTGCATGGACTTACGAACAGATTCCTCTCCAATCAGACCAGTTCGATCCATACCCGAATCACAAGTATTTCCACTGCAAATTCGTGAATTACTTCCGTCGACGCAGCGGAATCCCTGACTGTAGCTAAAATTGAAGGCCAAAAATAGTCCTTCTATAACAACCAAAGCCCGACAAACGAGACCATATCAAGAAAGCCCGAACACAGAAAGTGAAATACAAAATCTACTCATTGCCAAAATGAAAAACCCCCAACAAAGACCAAAATAATTTCACGCGAGGACCCAAAACAACGAAGTGTTAAATTAAACGACAGGAACACACCGACTGAACTAAAAATAAAGCAAGGACAGTAGAATGCAAAAATACAACAGCTTTATTAGCATATGCTGAGGGCAATCATTTCTTAGAAGAACCCTCCAATTTTCTTTGAATAATCTCACGGAACTGCCCAAGGATTTTATTCTCGCGCTTGGACCTCTCTTCCTTCGAGAACATTGCCAATGCGCGCTTTTCGTCTGCACTGTAAATCTGGTTTTCCTTTCGCAATCGAACAGCTTCCATTCTTCTGTGTCGACTTCCACTCATCACGAACCCGACACTCTCGAAATCCGCGATCTCATCGGAAGTCAATCCAATTTCACCACGACGAGGAATACGTTTTCCTTCTGCAACAAACGCAGCCATGGCTGCACCTTCGCCCGGCAACAAAGCGTGGCCGAAATCTTTGTGAGTGAGGGTGACACTTTGTTTCGGCTGTGGCCCAACGACAACGTCCTTTTCCTCTTGCGTGCGACAAGACTCGGCAAGAATTTTCCGCAACTTCGCTATCTGTCTCGAATCGTCATCGTCGTCTGAATTCGACTCAGTTTCGCGCTTCTCCTTCCTTCGTTTCTTCTGTTTCTTCTTCTTTTTCTTGATCGCCTTTTTCAACAACTTCTCGACCTTCTTGAGTTGTTTCCTTGCCTTCGCCGCGGATTCTGATTCAGAATCAGAGTCTGAGCTACTCGAGTCGCCAGGGGACTTTCGATCCGGCTCGGCGGCCGAAGGTCCAACGCTGATCAGCGCTTCCGGAGCTCTTACACCAAGAAGAACGTCACGATACGAAACAATGTCCTCAGGGGCAGTCAAAAGAAAGTCGTCGCTGGGCTTCTTCGGAGATTGACCCCAAGCAGCAGCTACGCCGCATTCCGCAATACTCGCGCGCTCGTCACGACGATACGCCCAAAACGAATCCGGCGTTTCCTTTTCATGGAATCTGTTCGATCTGTCCCAATGACGTCTTCGATCCCGACTTCTGCTCCTGCTCCGACTACCTCCTTTCTTCGGAATCCAGCCTCTGTTTTCTCGACTTCGGCTCCGACTGCGATCACGGGAATGGCTTCGGCTCCGTGACCCACTGCGGTGCTTTCCGTTGATTTCTCTGATGCCACTTCGCGACCGTGCCGATCTGCTCGTGCTTCGGTCGCGACTGGCTTTTCTGCGTCTATGCGTTCGATCGCCGCTTTCGTCATGAACCCGGCGAACGCGATCTCGGCTTTCGTCATGAACCCGGCGAACGCGATCTCGGCTTTGACTACGTTCATCGCGGCGACGATGAAAATGATCACGATCGTCGTAACCCATTTCAATTAAAACCTGCAGAATAAATGAAATAAAATTAGTCAAATACGCTTAGAGATTCCTTGAGGATTTGAAATGAAGTTTCGACAGATGTCCTCAGCGATTCCATTAAAAAAATCCAAAAGTATATTCCAAACACTCCGAAAAATCAGCCATGAAGTTTCTTGACGTTCTCGAAAGAACGATCTTCCATCACTCACCGCTGAACGGTGCAAGCACCAGAAAATACGTCACATGCATCCGATTCAACAGCGCGAAGTCGAAAAAACACAATCCCTTAAAAGCCACAATAAAACGTAAATTCAAGAACTTAAGGCGAAATATTTTGTGAAATTTCGCGATGACAAGTTACCCCACTCGAATTTTCCCTTCGAGCTATACCAACAAAGAGAGTGGGGAAGATTCTCACGAGAAAAAAAAATGGTGATAGAGCTCTCTCGTATTCTTGAACAAGGGTTAGGAAAAAAGCTTACGGCGTCGAAACACAATCATTATCGCGATAACATTGTAGCAAACGCTCATCACGCATCAATTCACGGTCGAGAATTCCAGTTTTTCGATGGCATCCAGGCATTCTTTCTGCTCTGGATCAGCCATTAACACAGACTTGTAATCCTGTAGAGCATCAGAAATATTTCCCAGTTTCTCAAACACTTGAGCTCGTTTTAGACGGGCCTTCACGTAATTTTCATTCAAGTGTAGAGCTCGGTTCAGATCTTGAAGACTGGCCACAAAATGTTCGCAATGAAAGAACGTTGACCGTGCCAAGACTATGTTTTGTCGAGCTAGACATCGTTTGAACCGTCCTGTGTGCAAGTTCCGTAGCCGCTTAAAGGAATAGCGTCGTCTTATAAGACGAACCTCCTTCTCGAGCAAACCATCGGTTTTCAGATCCAATGCTGTAGACCTCCGGGTTGATAATTCTTCTTCCGTTAACGATGCCTGTTGTTCTAGCAATTTCTCCTCGCTTGGTTCAAAGTCAGGCAAACGACAGAAAGAAGTTTCCTCAGAGGAAAAATTTCCCGAGAAAGGAAGCAATTTGACAACACGAAAGCCACTCAGTTCCTCGCATTTCTCGTACTTGGGAACTACGTCACAATAGATTACATCGTTCTCTTTGACAGCCGACACCAACAGAGTTTCCACGGATTCTTGAAAACTCTTCAAATTCCTCGGAAATTCCAATGGACACAAAATCGCCGCAGCGTTCAAAAATTCCTTCGCTTTCTGCGAAAAAAAACCCCAACATTCATCTGAGGAAAACTGAACTACACAAAAAAGTGAGTTCTCACCGTCAAGCGACAAATTCCCTCTCCATACTTTTTTAGATCGTGACAAACGAGTGTTTGAAAATATTCTGCTACACCCATGTACCCGTGTGCCTTAGCAGCTACAATAACACTAGCACGCGGGAACATCCACTTAAAATCATCCCTGGACAAAACTTCCGATAATGTTTTGTTCATCCGCCCGCATTCGACTGCCAACTTCGCGATCGGTCCTGATTTCTTCCCATCTGGAAACAACAACAAAATTGCTCTAATGGATCACGTATTAGGTTTAATTTCGAGTGACTACGTTACAATGAGTCAAAAACCCTCTATTATTCGAAACTAAATGGGGAGACCCCATTGACCAGTCCTGAACACAAAGCGCTATGCCAGTCTGCCACGAAGACAGTCCAGGGGTGTCTCCGAAGATTTGCCAGCCCAAAATTCTTGTCTTGGTGATGACACACACTAAGACGTGTGTGAGATGGAAAGAAACGGGAAAAATGGGCGAATACCGTTTAACTGGTTCTGAATGAAAATTCATGGATGATTAAAAATACACGCGGATAGTTCAGAAGTTTTATAAGATCAGTACTTCGAAAGGAAGCTCCTATATATGCCACAATTACTCAGAATCTGGAAAATCCCGGAAGACAAAGAACGGTACTTGAAGCAGAACTGTTCATGTATGACGGATTCTGTCCAATTTCAGTCCCTACCTGACTCTTGCTTATGAATCGTTATTTTCGAGACAACCTTCACATTTTGCACTACCAACACAGCATTTGCAAAGATGACGATAAATTTCTGGTCAGAAAATCGATGCAAAATCTGGAGTTTTGCGTCAGAAAAGATTTTCTAAATCTTTGAAATATTTGTACACCCATAAAACATAAAAATTGCAGATCACTCTGCCTGCATTAACTTTGCTTTCTTTTCAACTGTATTTCTATTCAGGTGAAAGAAGATCAGAGCATTGATTAGGAAAAGATCAATTGTTTTTATGTTAACTGTAAAACTTACGTAGATCCGCATAAATTCAACAAGATTCCTACATGTCAAATCATTACTACAGTAACATAACTTTTAAGACAAAGCTCACAAATTAGGAAATGATCTGTAGTATAGCAAAAGGCTGTGGTAAGATGCTTACCTTTAATTGCTTTCATAAGCACCAGCTCCTGAGCTTGCGCCAACATGAGAGATGACAATGCATTTAGAGTATCAATCCGAATATCCGGAGTAGGTTCGTCATAGCAGAAGAGTGCAACATTATCTTGTACGGTGCACAGATATCCGGCTAGTTGCTGAATGTTCGTATCAGTTTGCAAAAGTAATTACAGAGTTAATGCATGAGGAAAACTAACCTGATACGTTCTGGTTCCCACCCGCAATTCTTCATCTCCAGGAAAACCTTCCGACGACAACATCTGGCTCTGCGCAGCAGCAATGTTGAAGAGAATGCAAAAAATCTCGAAGTGTAACCCTCCAGCTGAGAAAATTCGGTTTAATTTTTCTACATATAAACGAATGATTCGAGCAGAAAACGTACATGTCGCACGAGTTCGACGGAAATATGATCCTTCGTCAAATGCATCATCGAACTTCAACGATATTTTAGAGGCAGTAGGATCAATCTTCTTGTTCAGTGTTACCAAGGCATCGTAATACCTGAAGAAAAATTATGGCTGCATCAAGGAAGATAAGAATATCATCTAAAAATGTCTTACCCACTAAGGCGATCGACAAGCTCGCGTTTGTCCGCAACTTTATCAAATCTTTTGACATATTTATTTCGGATTTCTTCAAGTTTCTCAAGTTCAACGAGATATCCTTGCAAAATTTCGGGAGTCAATTCTTCGTGCGCCGCTCTCAAGCATTCCAAAAGAGGATTCGAAAACTCGTCCGTACCGGCTTTTTTCAACGGAAAGCCTAGCATCAACGGTACCGTCATTTCCATATTGATGTTACACATATATTAGTGCAATATATATTATCGAAGGGAAAATCCTGCAATACAACGAAAAGCCTTCATTTTTCAGAGGCATACGAACAGCATAATTTGCAATTCAAAGACAAATCCTTTTTCTAACCACGGGAAGACGGAAAACAATGCTTTCGTCCATACTCAGGGCAAAGAAGTTCATATTGCACACACGAGACACTCAACGCGGGTCTAGTTTAATGACTAAAATTCTCATAAAACTCAAAAACTTCTAACACGAAAAAGTGCCCAACAATGCAAAGAAGCCTTCAGCTGTTCTGCGTTTCACTTTCTACACCCGTATTTTCTTTGGGGGCATAAAACCATCTCCACCACGCAACTTTCATACGATCCCAGACATTATCGAGAGAATCCATTGCAGGACGAACATCCAACAAAGCAAACTCGTACGAACTGGCATCCAAGACACCGTCATAGTAGTCAATTACGTAACGAACATCTTTTCCACATCTGAAAAAATAAGCGGTTCAAAGACATTTTCTTTTGCATCTGAGCGGAAAAACTCCACCTGTCCACTATCCAATCATGGCGATCAAATGGCAATTCGTATCCCATCCAATGGCGAATGCGAGCACGCGGGGAATACTCTTTCGCCTTGCCGCCGAATTTTTTCAGTTTCGGAGTGCAGCATTCATGCGCATGCAGGGCCTCCCATTTGAGTACCTACGGAAAGCGAATCGAAATTCATACGTTTCCGCTAATGAAAGAATAAAAACTTTAAATCGTTAAATACACGCCATCTCGAAAACGCAGGAACAGAAAACCTAAATACTGAATGCATCATGAAGTGACAAAAAACTAACCTCTCTCCACGCCGATTCATTGTTCGCATTATGAATCCGAATAATATGCGACATATCTTCGGAGTGAATATCCTCATCTCGCCACCGCCAACCTTTGCGAAGCATTGCATTCCAGAACATTTGCTGAGACGGATACTCCCATACCTCACCTTCCGTGCCAGCTTTTGGTATGGTTGATTTCTGGAATCAACAAAATGAAACGATGATCAAGGTTCGAGTGAAGTTCAGCTTGAGAAAAATACTGTGACCACGTGACTTTGGGAGACACAAACCTGACGATCTATTGGTAGAGGAAATGGTTGGTCTGGCGCCGGACGTTGATTCGGCGGAGGCATCATATTATCAGGGTTGATTTGATCAGAGTTGGACCCATTATCGCCTTGCATAGGACACCCACTCGTCTGTTTTCCCGCTTCATGCATGGGACAACCACTCGGCGGGGAAACACCAGCTTCCATTGAAGAACTTGTCACGTTCCCCATACCATACACTGAATTTCACAAACACGCCTAAAAAAGGGGAAGAGTCGAGGTCCGGAGCATGAAATAAAATCTCAAGTGGATGAACTGCTCAAATCTTCATTCAAACACGTTCCTTCCTATTTCCACCGGAAATTGAAAATGGGGCAAACCGCCTCAAAAAATTCACATCAGGCCGAAACACAGGCGACGAAAAAAAATGAAAGAGAGGCCTTCGCGCAGCATTATCACAATATAATAACCTGGGCAACGGAGAAAAACAAGGGAATGATGACTTCCCAGCAACAACACTCAAAAATAAATATAATCTGCCAGCGGAATCCCGGATTTCGGCAAGGAACAAGATTCCGACTTCCCGCACGGATCACATGCGTGCGAAGTCCAGTTGAACGTACATCTGGTTCACTCCCACGTTAGCGAAGATCATGTGCGTGTGGCTGACGATAAATGCAGGATCAGCCTTTGGGGACACCTCCAACTTTACTCCACCTACGAAGACATTCGTACATAATGTCCAGAAGTGAGGCTCCTGCACGCTATAGACTCCATCAAGCTCCATGACTTTTTGGTAACAACCCGCGAGTTTCCCATCCAGCTCTTTCGGCTGGCGCTGCATCAAGATCATAACTGAATCCTTTATTAACGATAGAACGCTGAGAGCAATAAGGATGGCGATAAACATAGAACACAATGGATCGGCGATCATCAAACCGAAGTACTGCATCAGCAGGGAAGAAATTATCACCCCAACACTACCCAACGCGTCCGCCAGAATATGGAAGAAAACACCCTGCATGATCTTCGAACCCGACGTCTGGAAGCCGTGGTCATGGCCGTGGTGGTGATGATCATGTCCATGGTGATGGTCGTGCCCATGATGGTGATCATGTCCGTGTGATCCGTGACCGTGTGAGTGTCCTCCTCCATGGCCATGTCCATCGCAACCTCCAGCATGGCCGTGTTGGAAAATAAATATTCCTATGAGGTTGACAATGAAACCGAGCACCGAAACAACCAGCAAGCGTTCGTGCTTCACTTCCGGTGGTTCCACGAGCCGCTCAACGGCTTCGGAGAAGATGAAAAATGCGATGAACAGCAGGAACAGGCCGTTCACAAATCCCGCCAAAATTTCTGCTCGCACGTACCCGTACGAGAACTTATCATTTGCGCGCCACTTCGTAATAACGGAAGCTATTACTCCAGCCAATAGACCAGTGCAATCGAAGAACATGTGGAATGAGTCCGATATGAGGCCCAACGAATTCGTCAATACTCGCATCTTTTCAAGTTGCTTCCGCTTACACTCTAATTCGTGCTCTTTAGGGTACTCTAAAGCCCTCAAGAATAGGCTTTCCTAATCAGCTTAGGTAGGAGAGTCAAAAAGCTGATTTAACTTAGAAGGGGATCCTTTCACAGGATCTTTCGTAGTCAGGGGTAGCATCTTGATATCGTGAAATCTACGAACGTCCGCGCTAGAGTCGTCACCAATCTAGCCCTTCACTTTCTTACAAAGAAAAATAAGTTCCGGTTCATCTAGAAAAAAATTCAGAAAGTCGTACGAGAATCAATATCAAGCCACCATCGAATGCCTGAAATGACTAGAACACGCAGAACCACGGAACATTTTTGTCCCGTGAAAGCACGGCATCATCTTCGCAAGCCACGAGGCATCACCGGCATACCTGCGAAAAAAATAAAATAATAAATATATACTGTATATATATATATATATATGGAAGATTCAATTTAGTCGAAAAACTGAGAGGATGGATTCGACTAATCCTTTCGGATAAGAACTCCCGAAATCTCATGGGATTTCTCGTGCTTAATCTCACATTCGCCTTCGTTGAACTTTTCTACGTAAACTGAACTTGCAAACCAGCTTGTAATAAATTTCGAACCTTATGTCACTATACCAATAGGGTGCTACAATTGATCACCACACAATCTCTGAGTTTCCTCAACAATCTCGTTTTTTTTTCGAACAGCGCACATTCGTTCTAGCAAGAGATAACAAATGACTGAAGGTTTTAAACACGAAACAAAGAGTTGCTTAATTCCTAGCCCGAAAGAAGAGCAAGAGTTTAAAATTCTCGAGGATAGATACTCCCAAAGATTGAAGAGAGAAAAACTATCGTAGTTCTAAAAAACGTCTCCAGCAAGAAAGCAAAAAAAATTTTGCGCAAAAAGCAGTTCTCATAAACTACCCTTACTTATTAGATTATTATTTTTAAAAACGTATTTTGCATAACAGATGCGCATTCAATCCCCGTCATACACTCGAATTAATGAAAAACTCAAAGAAAGGGTTCTGAACTACAAAAATAGACACCGATTCATGCATGAAAACAATAAAACTCACTTATGCATGGAAGTGTTCTCGTGATGGCATTCGAACAGGATTCAGGCTTTCTGTCCGGATTTAAGCACATACGCCTCTTCGAATCTGAAGAAAGACCAAGGATTGGCTCAGACTTTTATAGAACCACACATTTCAACAGTGCGTTCATAATCATGTCAGAATGTATACAAAATCCATCATAAAAATCAGACCCGCTGAGATTTTCATCATATTGCTACCGGCATAACGTATATTATATTCAATTACCTTTCAAATTCACATGGTTATGCATCAGCACGAGAAAGATGAACGGTTGGAATACGTGGTAATGGATGCGTCACTGAAGGCATGGGGACGTCTAAACTCTAAAGGAACGAAAAAACAGGAAAACAGGTTGAACGATCATCGTCATACATGGCGCCTGCTTGAATTCAAATTGGAAGCTGACACAAATTTTTCATTAAAATGCTTAGAAAAAGCTAATAAAAAAGAAAAACTTACCATCCTCCCTTCGAGCGGCTCGACGGATGTCGCGGTCGTTAACAACAGTGAGTACGTAAGCCTATCACAAAAACGAGGCCATGAGAAAATATTTCAATCAAATTTTTATGACAGAAATCGTTTAATATCGACATAATCAGAAGATTGTTGTTGCAAAATTCAAAAGCATTTCATTTTCGAAAAAAAAAATCAGCATTGTCAACGTTTTCCGCGTTTTGTTCCGGCGGGTGGCAATTGTAGTTGAAAATTCGGCTTGTTCTCGACAGATGCGCCGAACAATCCCGACGAAGAAGTCCATGCGTTCGATGAAGCCTGCTGTAATCCACCCGGCTGCTGCGCCAAGAAGTTCACTGCAACAAAGTAAACTTCATTGAGCAACATGTACTGATTGCAACAAACAAAAATTTCACGTTGTCGAGCACAGCGAAGTTTGTTCAAGTAATCCAAACTTTCATGCCGGGCTATGAGCGATATTCAGAAGAGAACCGAGGCAACGAATGTTTCCGTAGAACGGAACTTATCAACAGCTGTAAGCCACGAGCAAACAAGCGAACTAGCCACTGTATGTTTGTAAGAAAACAAAACTAAAGCGAACCAAAGCAACTCAGTGTACCTGACCCAGGAACCAAACTATTCACCGGGGGTGGTCCATGGAGCTTGTTCTTCCAATCCGATAATGACAGCAACAATGGCGTAGAGTTAACCATCACTCTAGGACCCAACACCATGGGCCCAGTGGGAATAGCGTTATAGATGGACGAATGCGACACAGAATACGACGGGTTGACCACGAATGGATTTCCTGGCTGCCCAAATCCGACTTCAGCATCCCACTCGGATTTGAACTTGATCACTCGCTGGTGCAGTATGTTGGCTTCTCCGGCAAGCTTCAACAAGGTCGCATGTAGGCGGTTTAGAAAATTCTGATAATCTCTCTCCGACAAACTCGTATCTTTAACAAATAAACAATCGATTACATGGAGTACAAAGTCTAACTTGCTGAAGAACCTCACCCATTCCATTAGCAAGATACTTTTCCAGATCAGTCGTCTGTTCTTTGCATTCGGCGAAACGAGCATCGAACTGCTGCAACTTTCGAAGAAAATACTCCAAGGGGGCTTCATTTTCGTACTGCAATCCTGAGGGAATCTCTCTCGTGCGCTGTGATATATCGACGTTCCGAAGCTCATCCCGAACTTCTTCCTTAATTCGCTTAACTTCTGCGGCTAAAACAGACATAGCACTAGAGAGGGCGATAATCTTCGAATGACACGCTGCCAGTCTATCAGAGGTTTTGTGAATGTGCATCTCTGAGATCTTCATGATTTCATCACGATGTTGCCTCTGAGCCGCTATATGGGCCTTTAACTCTTCCACTGTCATGCGTATTTCTGGTGGAACTGTTAGAACAACATAAGTTTCTGTCGTCTAAACGAACAAACGTCAATTTTACTACGAACGTTGGGCATCTTTCGCCTGCACCCCAGTTTGGCTATCCTTCCCAGCATCGCCTTGTCCAGACTGGGGTGTGCCTCCAAGACCCTTGAATCCGCCTGCATCGGCAGATGATGTCGTAGCACTGGACGATAATGCATTTCCAAGGGTCAGTGGATTCACTTGCTGGCTTCCAACGTCTGCGGAAAATTCTCTTGGTGAACAATGAACATATTACAGAAAATTGCTCGAACCATTTGAAGCCCAGTGGAGACACAGAATTATAAAACTACTGTATCACCAGAAGTAACATAAAATTGCGGTTTACCTGCGGAACTCGTCTGCGCGGGAGCTGCAGTCCCAAAAGTCAGGCCTGAGGAGAATGGCGCTCCTGCTACACTGCTGGTAGGTTTACCGCCAAATGAAAAACCCGAGAAGGCCGAAGAGGCTGCGGTGGTTGGCGTTCCAAAATTCATCCTCACCAAAACCGATAAATCCTTCCACTCAACACCTGTGAAACTGGTCATTTATCATTCGACGGTACCTTTAATACACTGCGGAACATTCACTTCAGCGCACGAACGGATGTCAGCGTTATCTTCAAACCACTAGGCCTTAAGCCATCACGGACAGTATTCGCACCAACTGCACTTATCATTTATCGAACACATCAACTGCTCAGAAGTCAGAACCCGGAATGACAGGGAGGAATAATCGCGCCTCTATAGAGAAATCTACGAGTCATTTCAAATATCTAGCGTCATCTATCGCATACTGCTACGCCTATTCTGAGCGTACAACCGTAATGCAATCCAGAGTAACGACATAAGTGCAGGGTGAAGCGTTCGCATGGTGTTGCTGAGCGCTTCCTGTAAAACGTATGGCTCGTTCTTTATGTTTAAATTACTTATTGACTGAAACTTGAGCTGTTCGCACCATTAGGAATCACGTATTCTTTTGAAGAAATCCAACTGCACTTTCTACGTCGTTTGAAAGGAGTTCTGAAGAAATTTTCGTATGAGAATTTCATGTTTCTGCAAAACCTATGGAAGGTGAATAAATATGAGAAAAATCAGAATGTGTGATGAAAAAATGTCCCCAGCGTTGAACATTGACCAGCAGGATCGTTCCGATTGATATAAACAGTAGTGCGTGCAAAACGAACACAACTTCATCGTTGCTCGACGATGGTTGAAAATAATAATAAAAATATAAAAAACACATCAGATTAGAAGCATAGCAATATATATACAGTATATAATGAACAATAAAAATAAGATAAAAAAGTGACTCAAAAATATCAGATTAAAATAGTATATAGTATACTCTTATATAGTATACTCTATATACAGGGTTGACCAAAAAAGTGAACTGTTTTTGTAGCTGTAGCTTGAGTTACTGCTGTCAAGATACTGTATTGTAATTCAAAAAACAGTTTTTGTAGGTGTAGCTCAAGTTACTGCTGCTGTCAAGATATTGTAATTCAGAAAGCAGTTCATTTTTTTGGTCCACCCTGTGTATATGCAGGAAAGTATATGTATATCATGTCAAAGATCTATTCCCTTTTTATCTAGATCACCCTGTATATTACACCAAAATATGCGCACCATTGTGTGATAATGAACATCTAGCTCAACAGCAGAAATTACTTGAGCTACAGCCACTAAAACAAACAGCCTAATGAAAGCTTGTTCAATTTTCTTCCAAATGATATTTGGTTTTATGGTCCCATGTGTCATGGCATGGTCAAAAATTCTTTTGAATGAAAACTTATACCACAACAACAAAAAGTTGTTGGGCAACTTTTTCTGCTAAAAGCTGCGGTTTTGAAGAGCTGCTTGAATGAATAAAGGAAATGCAGGATGCAATAATTTAACAAGCAAAGTTCATGCTGTCTTGGAGAGCCTGCACATGTTCCCGAAATTCAGAAAGTAGGGGGTGAGAAGTGCAAAAAAAAATTGAGAAATGGGATCTTGCTGCACTCCCAAATCCTAATGCAAGCTTGCTGCTGGGTGCCAGCCTCATGGCTCCAGAGTCCAGAGTGACCACTTGCATGCAAGGGGTCACTTTCTTTGGTATGACGATACTACTGAAACGGATTTTAAGTGAAAATGATTTTTAAATACACCAATTTTTAGGGAGACTAAATTTGAGCAATTCAGTCATCCAGAAAAAAATATACATGCAGTGGGTCATTGGTAGCCATGAGGCCAGTGCACTGCAGCATCCTGATTGTCAATTTTGCTCCCTTATTCTCACCCCCACCTCCTAAATTTCAGCAATCTTTGCACCCCTTTGAAGGCAGCAGAAAGTTTGCTGCATGGTTAAATTAGTGGTAATGCACCATATTTATCCCCCCAAACACCTCTGGAGAATAGCAGCTATAAGTGAAAAGAGTTGCCGGACAACTTTTCTTGTGGAAAGTTTTCATTCATGCAATTGTTTCATGTAACCATGCTGTGGCACTTATTATGACCATAAAACTGCATACCATTTGAAAGGGAATTGAACAAGCTTTCATTCGGAATTTCTTTCATTGTCTGCACAGCTTGATTTGCTATTTCAAGTCAAAAATCTGTTTACTTTTTTCTGGCCCACCCTGTATATATGCCAAAAGATACACACCATCCTGTGATAATGAATATTAAAAGCTTTGGAAACTTTGACAGAGCATCATTTTCCCACTCAAAGTATGCTTGTTTCATAATCATATTGACTATATATAAACATCGGCTAATGTCATGGGAATGGGATATACAAAATTGATTGCTGGTTAGAAAAGTCTTGATTGCTGGTTAGAAAAGTCATTGCATGCTAATTTTTATGTATCCCCCCCCCCCCCCGAAGTGCTGAGCATACAGTATTTTTATCTGTTCTTCGCTAGGTTGGTATAAACAAGTATAATTCAGCATATTTATTATGTAAAGGGGGCTGCTGGACTCTCACCTGAAAAAAAAATCAAGGGGCCCAAAAAGAATGGTTGTATAATGTACAGCATAAGGGAAATTGCATTGCAGAGAACAACATTGGCGGAAAACTGTTTACATCATCTTTTACTGGCAGTTGACACTGGTATTTTACAGGTATGATATATGCATGGATATGAGTGAATTGTTCGCTTCTGGGGATCACTTTGAAAAGCTAAGCGCTTATATTTATTCACATTCAATACAGCTATATATATATATTCCATACAATTTTCAGAAAAAAATCCGGAACAGCGTTATGGTCTTCTTACAAGTTCCAACATATTCTGGTGGAAATAATAAGTACATCAAATCAATAAACAAAAATACGGATAGCAGAAATACACTTCCTAACAAAACATATTCAGGGCAGGACTACCGCATACATTTTTCAAATATGGAGGGGAAATGAAAAGCGACATCTAGCATGTTTATCCTTCCATTGACACTTGCATGATTCCATTCCATGTATAGTCATTATTATATACACAAGAAAGGTAGGATTTCCGCGGTTCAAAATGGGTGCATCATACCGATGCTAAAAGGATTGCGGAATGCTAGAATGCCGATGCTTAGGGGCCCGCGCAGGCCTTAAAATTCAACTTATGAATGGCGCTGTTGAGTCTTGCAACGTCGGTCTTCACCGTTTTCATCAACTTTTCCAGGTTCTCAAGGCCGTCGAGAACAACCACTGTGTCTGTGAAAGCGTCGTAGCTGACTTCGTAATTCCGCGATAGAGCCGTAGCTGTCCATCTCCTGTGAAATTACGATTCACCATGCGAGCATGGTTCCGTATCATGAGTTTGCATTTTCAGCGACCCGATCTGTGTTCTTTCAATTTTTTCACTCACATGAATTTTTCTTGCACGTCTTCGATGCTTTCGGCGACGAAGTAAGTGTCTTGGAAATCCTGGTCTTGGTATGGTTGAATGCTGGTTACGTCTGGGTCGAATGGCAGTTTGGCTGGTTTGTCGCTCAAGCTGTGCTCCAACTCGCCGTAGCTGCTCAAAAGCCCTGCTCCGAAAGCTTTTATTTCGGAGCCCTCTTTGCAAAGTCCAAATTCCACCGTGAACCAGTACAACTGCAAGCATTCCAAAGCATGACGTGTAAATTGAACAAGTCAACAGAAGCATCGGTTGGGAAGTTGCGTGAGGAAAATATTTCTCAGCATATGAACAGTTCGGCTCGCATTTACCGCCTATATAATACTGTATTCTGATGAAGTGTACTTCTGCCGTGGATTTGAAACCGGTCTGTTGAAAGGAATTATATTCATCGTGACACGATTGAAATTAATCATTTTTTAGAAAACCAGTTCATGGGGTATTTGAAAATTCAGTATACAGCACTGTATTTGTTGTATAATCTGGAAATGTTGATGGCCATATCGAATTCCATGACAAATAACCGCGTCGTTCAATTCTAACGCGCTGCGGCGAATACTTTTTTTTTTTCCGGATACTGTGTGTAGAGAAGCTCAGAAGCGTGAATTGCACAAGATCATCATCTTCCTGAAACTCACCGTTGCAAATCTTTCAATTTCATCGTCCTTCGCTCCGAGCGAAGCTAGCCCCAGTTCTTGCGAGAACTGTGCGAACGCAGGATCAGCGAGCATCGGCACGTGTCCCAGCAATTCATGCACGCAGTCCCTAAATAATTTTTTACAATCAAGAAATGACACAATATTCGAGATAAAACGAATGTTCGGAAAGTAAACGACGATACTTACGGTTCGGGAGAGTGATCGGGCTCCGATGGATGCCTGATGTACTGCGTGCACTGGAAAACTCTGTGCGCGAGACTAGCCAAGAAGTCTCGAGCCGTGAGAAGACCAGCTGCCGGTCTCAGTTTGAAACCCGACCTTTCTGTTGATAGATGGTTTAATCAGGTGTCTGTTCATTGTTAAATTTTGGAGGAGTTTCCATAGTAATATACTGTACAGTATTTTGATCGTTTTTCAACCTTCATTAGAATAATCTCAATTGATGTCAAATATACCGGTAAAATTATTTCTGCGTGCTAGCTGTTCCTGTACGGTAACTGACGACGTCTCTGAATTGAATCTCAATTCTTCGATCAACAGGCATATGTTATATAATACAGCTGCGCAATTATTTCAATCCACTTCGTATGCGTTTTTGAGGACAATGAGTCAGCTACACGAGCGTTCTGAGAATGTCGGCATCCGTATGCCATATATTGTGCGAAAAAAATTCACTCATGATTATATGAAATACATCGCCGTCAATTGCATGCAAATGGGTAAATATGATCAAGGGTTAAAACAATTCGCATGGGGCAGGAGTGAAGTACAGTATTCGTGAAAACATGAAGTGCTAGAATTTTTCTGTTATCTAAAATTTGTCTTGTAATTATAATAATCCCTATATTTGTTGTTTATTTAGCTGTATATCCACGGTGACCGATGGGCATGCTCAAAATGAGAGAAATCCCAAAGCTATTCGAACATAATATGACTCATAATAACATTAAACAATGCTGCTGAGACCATCAATGTCATCATCCCTGTATACTCAGGAGCGTTATGCTGTATTGATTTGAGTAAAGCTGAAGTGTCATGATTGTACGGATCCAAATTTTTTAAATGAAAAGATAGTCGACTTTCGAGCTTGTCAGCTCGTGTGTGGATTAGTTATGTACGATCTCCTGCTATTCGACGAAGAATTTTACATCTCCGGAAGTATTTCAGAGTTACAATATTAATATCGAGGTTGCAAATGTGGATTCTGTGAGTTTAAAAAATATTTTAACGCACGTCAACATATTACGAAACTGAGCGGTATATATACAGTACTCACTTTGCAGGAAGGCGGACACATCCTGTAACTGTGGGATTTTATCAGGAGAATAGCCGCACTCCTTTTTCAGACATTCCATAATTTCTTTGTATTGACGACATGAGTGTGTTGGCATCAATTTTTCAATCTTGCGAAACACCTTTCCCCAAACCCCGATTTCACTCTGCGTGTATTCGATCCTTGGAATCGGTTCTCCCCTGAAGAATTATTAGAAAAAGTATCATAGTTCAGATTCGAATTGAAATTTTATCCATCCTTGCGTTCAAATCGATGATCCAATATTTACAAAACCTCAATGCTGAAATAAAAAAAAAAAAAATTTCAGGGATTTCTGAAGATCGAACTGCATTGAGGTAAAACTTCATACGCGCATATATGACGCACCTACAAAAAGGTTATTTTTGAATGAGAATGCCAAAACACAGATGAATTAGTTGAGCAAGCATTTTTAAAGTATAAGTACGATGGGATTGGTAGCGCCTATACAGTATTGGTCGGTATGCTGAAAAACAATCGTACAGTATTGAATTCAATCTTAATTCTTCAATCAACAGGCATATGTTATATAATACAGCTGCGCAATTATTTTAAGTATTCTGAGAATGGCGGTAAAATTTTCAAACCTATTATAGTATGTAGTAAGTTGCTGTCGCACTGCAGTATTCTTCCAATATTATGCTACTTACTGTTTATATGAGAAAGCAATTTCGGCTATCCGCTTTCTGCGAGCCCTGTATTCGGTGTCTGAAAACCCAGGGTGACAGCTGTCCAAATCCGGTTCAAACTTCGACAACACATGATTGCATTGATCGAGTTCGGATATATGTTTTGGAAACCAGGGTTCTGTGAATTAAATGTATGAAAAAACCTTTACATTCAGAACTAAATTATTTTAAATTGTTGATAGTACATGCCTTTGAATCCCACCAGTTTTTCGGAGAGCAAGACTACTTTCGCAACTTCTGAGCTATGTCTCAAAAGTTTCAGCAAGTTCAGCAAAGATTCAGTGGAGATGTTCAAGTCAATCAGTATGTCCGCGCTTGGTTTTTGCAAATTTTCTGAAGCAACCGATTTTCTGAAGGGGTTCTTCCTGGTCTCCAAATGACTGACAGTTCCATGACAGCTCTGGAAAAAGAGAAACCCGAACAAATCAGATTTTGAAAATTTGTAAGGCTTTAAAAATTAGTTACATACTCCATACAGAGGGTTATTATGCAAAAAGAATTCATCACCCATTTGATAAAATTTTCCGTTTCGTCCCCGAAATTCCATTTCTATAATATCGGTAGATGAAACTATTACAATAATTTGCACCAAGTTAATTTAAAATACAGTATCTGTTTCTCGGTTTTCCAGTGCGAACAGAGCACAGAGATTTCACAACACCATTTTCTAAGGATACTTTGATGTCTCGGGCTATTCATCTTCACAATATCCGGCCGACTGCGGATTCCAATTACATAGGAATGCTGAAAACCACAATATTTTGGCACGAGAAACAATATGGCAATAATTACTTCAATCGCCGACAAGATTTTCGTAGTTGCAGCCAGGCCGCCCGTCAATTCGATCAGCAAGCTTGCATTGCCGTGATCGTCCGGCTCGGGTTCGATTGCTGATCCGATGACGTCTGGCTCAGGTGTTTCAGTAAATTCGGCAGATTCTTCCTCGACGACTTCGATGGATTCAGATGCGAAAACATTGCTGTGGCTCAAAGCAGTAGAAGTGGCTGTCAGTAATGCCCTGGAAGCCGCAGCTTGAATCGAACTGTTCCCTTTCGCCAGAAAAATCTCGTCTTCAACGCCCTCTTCTGCAGAAGGAAAATAAATTCTTTGTATAGATTGAGAGCATTGAATAATTATGACTCTTACGTATTCCGACTCGTCGGAATTCGACTAAATTATGTCGCGCCGTGTATATTCTACTAAATCATTCTTTTTGTTATTTTATAATATTTATATTAAAATGAGGGATGCTTTTAATATCTCGGATACAAGGCGTCATCTACAATATTTCAACCTCTTAATTTTGTTTGTGTCTTAAAAATGAAAACGATGCAGCCTGGAAACGGAATCGAGAGGCCTTTAAATCACATTTAAAATTTTCAGAAGCAAATATAGGAGTCTGTTGACATTCCTTCTGCTCAAATTAGCCGTTTAATGACGTCAAGCAATTGAAGTGAAAACTGTAGTAAGATGTGTTATACATTGCATTTTCGATTTACCTTTATTTAAAAGAAAAATATCATCAGAGGCGAGAGCGTTTTTTTTTATTTTTCCTGCGAATTTAAGACCGACTCAAATATATATAAGCACTCCCTGATTTTAGAATTTAATTTTTCGTTAAAAGAAGGGGTCTTCGGCTGAATACGGTAACGACGAGGACCGCTACTTAGAATACTTTTTAATTATATTCCCAATTCTTGTAGCTTTTTTTTTTTCTACGAGCCGAACTGTTTCGTCGTTTAAAGGAAATGGAGTGATTTCATGTGAGGTCTTTAAATTTCTTCGAAATAATTTGTAATTATATAGATTGTTCTTTTGCATTGATTTACTTGATTAAGCTTGAAATCAAATCTAAAATTCTTTAGTTCATCGACGAGAAAAAGGCGCTGTCAGGAATCAGGACGTGCTGCAGGTTCGTTAGAACGAAAGTAACTCACCAACAGGAGTTTCAATGAAATCAGAGAGAAAATTCTCCTTCGTCTCTTTGTTAACGAGTGTCTCGAACTTGGCATCGTCGACCAAAGACCTTCGCCTTGATGGATACCCATTCTATAATTGAAGGGGAAAATCCAAATTATGAGCAGAAGTCTCACACGAAGGCAGAGAATGACACTTTGCTTCACGAGGATGAATTATGTCTGATAAAATGACGTGAAGACGATTTTAATTGCGGAAAGAAAAATCTCGTGAAGTGCTCATGTTTTTTTCTCATGAGACTTTTATCGTGCGATCCCCTTTCTATAAATAAATGCACTGAACGCTTTCATGCAATTTAAAACGAAACCTTCGTCCACAATGATTTATCTTTATAACGCGTTTATGTCGTTATTCTCGCATTTAAATGTAAATTAACGCATAAATCAAATTTCACCTTCAATTTCATGAAGTAATGTATACCGCCGCAGCCATTGCATTTTTATTTTCTGAAAATTCTTATATCGGGTATTGTTATTTACTTCAGAAAATTGGTAAACGATGTGCATCAAACGAGTGAATTCGTTCTGCTGTACTGAGACTGTTCAATGCACTCATATTGGCTCACATTCTTCTCCGCTGCAGAAAGAAATGCGAGCTTTTATTTATTTTTTCATTGATTTTTGCTCTAATTGATACATTTTTTGTTGAGAGCACTTAAATTGGAGTGTGATGATCACGGACGAGAGGATCCTATTCTATATGGAAGTTTTGAAGTTTCGAGTTTAATTGAAACATCAGGATAGCTAGCATCCAGTGCTTTAAATAAAATAAAACATTTTTGAAACAATTCAATTGCCTGCTCAAAGTTACTGCTGATGAAATTATTCGTTTCTCGTGTCTTTTTCAATCAGTTGGGGGGAAAGAATGCTGATTTTCGCTCACGGTGAACGGAAATCGCTCGAAATAATTACTATTTTTTATTTTTCCACAACTCTCGCGGGGAATCCAGCGCTAATTCACGGACGATCCGGTAAATGGTGCGCGGAAATCATCTGAAATCCGTGGATTTGTTTTCTTTTGTATGTGTGTGTGTGTGTGCCATCAATCGTGGGGAAATTCAGAGCTACTTTTCCTGACATACGATCCATGGTCATTCAAAAAAAAAGTGTGACGAGGACCTGACCTCGATGCTGTAAGATTTCTTCATGCCGAAAAGCGCTCGCCGACTCGCGTCGGGAATCGCGGCGGGTGCCCTAGCCTCGAAAGCGCAAGTGCTGATGGGCGAGTGCAGCATCAGGGATCCGTCGGCAGACATGACGACCGGAGATCCGCTGCTGCCGATCACGCCTCCACTTTCGCGATGTGCTCTGTTTTGCAAAAGAAAAAGAAATATAGACGTGCAATATCCACGGCTGCATTGATGACTCGGTTAATGGACTCGATACGTTCCGAAAAATCCATAAACGGAATTCAGTACGATACGAAAGTCGGGAGACCCCGAAATTGGGACAAAATTGGTTGAACCACTGCGTTCAGCATATATATATATATATATTATCCGGACTTTCCCATAGACTTGAAAATCAACTTTTGAAATTGCTTTCCAAAATTTTTTTTGAAACATATGCCGTGAAAAATATGCTTTAATTAAAGTTAAAAATGTATACGAATATTTAAAGCATAGAAAATCCGAAATTAAAGAAAGAAACCGGAATAAATTCAAAAAGAGCAGCCAACGTGAGGCCACACGAATCGATTCGCGGTGAAAAGTTTAAATAGCATCGCAGAGGGGATTTTAAAAACATAATATTTGATTTTTATTATTCATAGCTCTAGTTTATTTACTACTGTACTTCAGAAGACACCTAATTGAAAGTTTGTCGTGTTTTTATATGTTAAGGTTACTTTTAAACCATATTACATATTTTAAAAGTATGCATCGAAGATCTCAATAATTTGCCATTTTTGGAAGATTTTAAAATTTCTAACATCAATTAAATTGAAATTATTCCACGAGCAAACTTCAATTTTTCGAATCGTGAACACTTTTCTATGCAATCAATTACAAATAAAAAAAAAATTTCAGTAGCCCAGATTCATTGCACACATACGGTATTTCATCATGCAATGCGTCCATTATCCGAATAACCCCTGCATTGATTTGAAAACACAAACTGTTTGGATTCTTTGATAAACATTGGTAACTTGAGAAGGTGTATGTAATGAATACCCCGCATAATGTCCTAAACTGCTGACCAGAGCTGCAATAAAATTTGAAATGCTTAGTTTATCATGTTTTGGATAATTCCAGAACATTGATTGTGTTTTTGAAAAATATATGTGGCTACGAGAAACAGACGGATTATGTAAAAATACGCAATATTTTATAGATTGTGTTGAGGATTTTTTCCTTTTTGTTTCATGTTATTTTTTGCATAAAATACTGTATTTATCTATTCAAGATTTTTGGTAGGACATTTTCACAAGAATTGGAACCGGCCAATTATTTTTATATTAAACATTTAAAGAACTTTTTGTGCAATATGGAGCTAGCTATCATTTCATAAAAAAAAAAAGAAACCGGCCTGTTTAGTCCCAGTTTCAACGTAAAAACCACCAGCCGTTGAACAAATTCCCTGCATAACAATGATAGACCCCCTATTATTCAATTGCTATTACTGATCATATACAGCTGTTTTTATACGAAAGAATAATATTAAAAATCTGAAATTTTAAGTTAATGTTCCAATTTTGACATGAAATGTCCTGGGTTCTTCCAAAGCATTCCATAATTTTAGGGCAAACATTTATTTGTGGCGACACACACCCGTCGTTTTAAACCCTGGGCTCCCTCCAATGCTCCCTCCAACCCTGAAAAAGTCCCGATTTCCGTGACCAGTGAAAACAATTATCTCCATATATCCTGAGTTAAAGCTTATTGATCGTTACGTGAGAAGCGCAGTACATTTATTTTTTGCGCTCACCCTCAACACGTAACTGACATTCCTAGTTTTTAACCTTCCAAAAATTTTTGAATGACGAACCTCGGGTTCGCGTTATTGGGAATCGCAGTCGTCGTTGTCGGCATTCTGCTGGTGACTGACAAAGCGACTGGCTGAGGGTCGGCTGCTGCGAGTTGAGCAAGCAAACGCCAACGGGCAAATTCCAGTGTGTCCTCGACTCAGCTTTCCCGTCACGACGGATTCAACGTCGCGACAGTGCCTGACTTGAAAAATAAACAAAATAAAATCTATAAAACCAAGCGGCAATCGTATTTTTCTAACCACTCGGAAAGACCCAAAAAAAGGGACCGGACGAAACGACCGAAACTGAACGATCGCGTATTGAAATCAAATTTATTAAACCGAGAAAAAATTACAGGCATAATTTCGTCAATTTACCGTCGCTACTGCGAGCATTTTACCTTTCATCATTTATTGATATTTAATTTTGTGTTTTTAATTTTGATGCATTTATATTCGTGAATTTCTCGAGTTCGAGTCAAAGAATAAAGAGGGGAGGGCATACAAAATAATACGAGCGAAAGGCCTTGGAGGCGAATAATAATAATTTAAATTTTGATCTTTTGAACTTTTTGTCATTTACGATTTTTGTGGGATGAAAAAATAAAGGTTCTTCTTTTTCAAGATCAAAGAACGGTGGTGCCAATAATTTTGAAGCTGCAACATTGAAAATATTCGAATTTTTTTTTTAAATCGTCGGCAACGTAGATCTGAGAAGATATGTTGTGACTTTATTTGTTGATCATTCAACTTCAATTGTCCACGTAAACGTAAAGGGTTAGTAAGGATTTCCACGGTGATCAACGAATACATGGAAACAATCCAAAATAGCATGGTTGATTTTGTATTCCGATAAATTCGAGAATATAATTTTGTTATCATGCCTCCATGACTCTATCGGAAAATTATTCGTAGCGTGATTTGTTTACATGTTTTATTTTGGCGTTATTGACTAGAAAATTGGTTGAAGACCCTCTTTATTCACAAATTACAAAATGGAAAGATCGCCCGTGAAAAGGGCGTGATCTCTATTTTTTTTCAATCCAGATTATTAAAAAAAAAACTGTCGGGCTTTCATCAAATTTTGAGGAAAGTGGCGCACATTTTGCTTTTGTGCCTCCAGATATATGACAGATTGAATTATATCATTCACAACCTTTTGTTGCAGAGTTTATTTTATTCTTGAACAAATGATTTTAATTAGGGTAACGTGCCAAAATTGCCTGTGGATTTTTTTTCAAAAATTGAACGACCAACGAATAAAGGCTAGATTTTTTCAATCTTTGAACATTCCAGATGTGAGGGATTTTCGCAAAATTAAAAGAGAGACTTGTAAATCACGAAATGCTGTATCTATGTAAGCCACCACAGATTCGGTATATCTATAGGAAAATCAATTGCGACACTGATGACGTAATTCATTTTTATTTTTTAAAGCCCCTTTGAAAAAATAAGGAAGAGCGAGCAGTTTTTGCGAATTCTCATCACGATCGACTCAAAGGACCACTTGCAAAAATATATATATCTGTAAATCGAGTTTGGATTTTGTCCTTGCTTTTTTTACCCCGCTGTGTTTTGTCCACGAGCGATTGCAACGGACTGCGGCACGAGCAGACTGGAGCTGACTTTTAACCAAGGAAGCTGGCTGATGTTGGTGGTGCTGGTGGTGGCGGTGGTGATGGTGGTGGTGGTGGTGGTGGTGCTGCTGCTGCTGCTGGAGTCCAACCACTGCTGAGATGAGTGGCCTTCAAACTGGGATTCCCATTGTTTTATTTCCTTCCCGCTTCTTTCTGCTGGTGCGGGAAAAGTCATCCATCAGACCATCACTAGTACCTGGTCTGAGGGCAGGTTTATTGATGCCTGCATTTGCATCAAATGACTGAGGACTGCAATGGACCAGCAGGAAACGTGTTGGTGATTGTCGGGACCCACAGCAGCAAAAATAAATAAAAAATATAAAATGATTGCGTGAACCTTTGTTTGAGTGCACTTTGTCCAGGAACTTGTTTGAGAAGGACTAAAACTGCCCCAGGGAGTCACCATAATTTGCGTCACCGCGAGGGTTTGCGATTTTCAAACCATTTTCGCTTGACTTCAAGGCGCAAAACAAAATGAATCGCGAGGGGTTGCGATATTAAACGATTCGTGTGACACTTCAAAACACAAAACAAAATGCTAAAACTTGACTCGGGATTCTGAAAATATTGCCAATACTCACAGCAGAGCGCAGAGGCTATATCTTCGTAGAACTTTTAGATATCAGAAGGAAATGTAAAAATAAGCTTCTTCGTTTCAGAGTGGCTGAAGATAGAACGACCATCAGATGAGAGAATCCTTTGAAACCAATCCAAATCCGAGTTTTACCACATCAGCAAGGATTTTTTAATAATTTCAGACTGCGGTGATCAGAGAAGACAGTGGCTTGAAATCAGCAGTGAGTAAATCGTGGAATTTCGTCACACTTTGTGTTTTTATGCAAGGCAGCGTTTTAAGCAATATGAACCAACATTTTTTTTTATACAGAAGGGCCTTTTCTAAACAAAACAAAAAAACCGAAGGTCCGGCATTATAATAATTTTTCCTGTAGTGTCTGAAATTTTGAAATCAATGATCATGTCATTTATGTTCAATTCATCATTTTTAAAGAAATCATTTAAAATTTTTACAGATATTCTTGGCTCATTGCTGACTGCGAATGCGAGTAATATTTATTATTTTCAATTTGGAAAAACTTCATTATAGCAGATTCAACAAGAATACGAACATTCTTAATACATCAGCTGTATCCGAAAATTGATGTACAAGAATATTATCGCAAACTAAATCAAAGGGTTCCTTTTCTTCACTGTCAGTGTGCCTCATCTCGATTCACAAGGCATTTCGATTATTTTAAATACTGTATAGCTAAACGATCACCTTGGCAAATCCAGCAAATATAGACAAAAGGAATTTTCTCTCAAAGCGTCCTAAAAAACAGAAATATACCCAGTGGTCGTGCCCCCTCATCTGGGTTCTACGCACTGCCCACTTTTTTTCTGGTCCAGATATTATGTAATATTGTGCCTTCTATACATAATACCCATCACCCGGGCTATTTAATATTCCGCCGCGGTTCTCTTTTCAGGGTGAGTCTACAAATTGAGGAACGACTTTTAAAATATTGCGTGTTGCGTCGAATCACGCGTCTTATCCCTGGAAAGAATTCCAATCATGAAGGGTTTCATATGCCTAGCAGCGATGGGAAAACCTGGGCCGAGCAACGAAGTTGTTATGCTCAAGGGGGTCTATCAACTGCATTCCGGAAAATGGGCGTATGCTCATCAGGTATATACGAGAGGAAAAGGGAAGTATTTATTTTGTTTTCTTTTTTTTCGACGATTTAAATCGGAACATATACTGCATTGAACTCTTCTTGTCCAGATTCGTATCATATCCTGGTTCCCATATTTTTATTTCTTATTTTCTTCGTGTCTATATACGTACAGTATAGTTGGTATTCGAATGCCCAAATAGTGTACATATGCGGGAATCCCTCTGCGACGTAGTTCTTACGTCTATGATTTTTTTTTCTCTCGAGGCAAGGATTCAAACATGCAGCAAAAACCTTTTTTATTCAAGTATGTTTTTTTCGGGTACTTGTGTATACCATGATTTCCGGATACATGGTATACACAAGTATCTGAAAAACACATTTGAATAAAAAAGGTTTTTGCAGTACTTTAGTCGCGTTTAGATTCTGACAAGTGACACCATGTACGAACCAGAGGAAGGTTAAGTGTAGTTCTGTACCTGCTCACGAGTTGGAAATAAAAAGCTATTATCCCCTTGATATCCGCAGTTGCGGAGTCAATTTAGATTTTGTGACTGATGTATCAAGTGTTACGTAATGATTATTCATTTTATTCAGGTCATTAACATTTGAGAAGAAGCCGACTGATGATTATGAAGTACGATACACCCACTTGATTCGAGCAGATGGCGTTTTTGTAGTCACATTTAGATTTTACGCTTGATATATAAATTGAGCAAATAAATTCTTTGGAAATAAATTACAGTATTTTTTTTCTATTTGCGTGTTGAAAATGTTCTGGATTTTTCATGAAACTGTACAATTAGCGTGGAATGACTCGCCTTTTTTATTATTTTTCGACCTGAAAATCCAGTTATAGTTGTTAAAATAACGTCAGAATCGTTTTTAAATTTGAATCCTGAAGAATTCCTGCTCGAAGCATAGGCTGCAAATCTCCTGGTCAATTATTTAAATTTTCTGAATCAGACCCTTATTTATTTGTCTTATCATCCGATTCAGATGTTGTTTCTTTGGTGTGTTTCTGAGCGCGTAGGATTTTTGGAATCTCAAATATACCCTTCACGCAACCAAGATCAACAGTGGCAAGCATTTTCAAGCTTTTGGACAAGTATACCTTTCCAGATTAAAAAAAAAAACGATACATACGCTTTGTTGAAAAAATTACATAACATTGAAAATTGAAGAACAATTTTCAATGTTATGTAATTTTTTCAACAAAGCGTATGCATCATTTTCTGCATAGGAGTGCAAAGAAGATCATGATTTTCCCAGAATAGAAAATTCCATGAAAATACTTGAACACGAACTTTATTTTTTCAAAGCTGAACAAAATGAATTGCTATTAAAATAATAGTTTTAGAAAGGTGACGCGTTGCATGGGTGGGTGCAAAATGTGCAGATGGTTTGTTTATGGCTGTCACGATGAAGGGGAAATTGCTTTTGCTGAAGCATCACTATCACGACGACCTCGGGGATAGTTGCCAAGAGGCAATTTCCTCGGAAAAATTTACACGGTGAATCTGATAGGATTAGAATTTCCATTTTCTTCTCTGATGCTGTCATCCGACTCCTCTTTAAAGGTTCGTCATCAATCACGAATGAAAACTCGGGCAGAAGATGAAACCGCTTCAGTACATCATATTTAATTAGGCCTCTTGCCGGTAAATTTGATGCTCATTTTGAATGCATTGCCTTTCAGGATCTTGATTGAAAGGCTTTGGTTTGAAGAAGATTGACTGGAAAAAGAATTGCTTAGTTTCAGGTGGATAATCATGGTATTCTTCACTCATCCTCCTTAACCTCGTCATTTCCCGTCGGAGAAAAGCAGCGTTTAATATTTCCATTTCCGTAAATTTAATTCTGGCTGCTTTAACTGACGCAAATGTATGAATTTTAAATTTGAATGACGAATAC